CCGTGAAACGAGCTTTTCCTTCTCTCTCTCTCTCTCTCTCTCTCTCTCTCTCTCTCTCTCTCTCTCTCTCTCTCTTACTCATTCACTCAGTGAACCGTCTGTGATCTCGCTATCTCTCTTTTCTTTAAATCCCTTGTCCCGATCGAAGGGATTTCAGCGACGAGTAGAAAAAAAATAAGTCCTCCTGGATCGTTCCACCCTATCGTAGACGCGTACAGGATAAGAAAACGAAGGGAAAAATGTCAGGGATTTGTGTGTTACTGCTGCGGCTGGAAATAATTCTTGACGACGAGAGATAGGAGCATATAAATGGTGTCCTGATGTAAACCGAATACAATATTTTAAATGATCAATAAACGACAGAAAAAAAGGTACATATCTTTATCTATCAATGCACAGCTACGGTAAAATATTTTCATTAAAAATCGTTCCCTTCCTACAGAACTTTTTCATTAACTAATTCAATACAATAGATACAATATATGATTCGATATATATATATATATATATATATATATATATATAATACAATTTTAACCTGTAACGTAACGATTCGTATCATTCAATTATAGTTTTTTAAATTGAGAAAATATATTGAAATCGATTCGTTCTTTTATATATGAAAGGAGAGAAGACAATATAATTTTAAACGAAAAGTAATATTTGACTGATCAATTTTCTTTTCAACGAATTATATTGTACACCCTGTACATATAACGTGTGTACAAGTAACGTGCATTTGTGCGGGTGCACGGATACGCACGTGCGAAGATACGAAGGAAAAAGGGGAATAAAAATAAAAGGGTAAAAGAAGAAGAAGAAAAAAGGAAAAGAAGCAGGAAAAAAGGAAAATGACAAAACGAAAAACAAAAGAAAAACAAAAAAGAAGTACAAAAGAAGAGAAAAGAAAAACGGGAGAGAACGGCCGTGGAAAGAAAACGATGTAGGATGGTCTCGTGCTTGAGAGAGAGGAATCGACTACTAAACGGGAATGGATGAGGGACGGTAAAAGGAGAAGCAGTTGGATGAGACAACAGGGTGAAGAGAGAGAAAGAGGAGTACTGACTGGTGGCAGGAATGCGTTAATGGGCTAAAAGAAAGAGAGAGAGAGAGAGAGAGAGAGAGAGAGAGAGAGAGAGAGAGAAGGAGAAAAAGAGAGAGAGAGAGAGAAGAGCGACGTACGCCGTCCAGATGGCGAGTCGTTTTCGCGAAGATGCATTTTCTCGACCAGAATGCAAACTCGTTGATACAAGCTCGAATTGCATCGCAACGTTGCAAAACGATACGAAGACGTACGATACAATCTAAACGAATAGATTAATCTACATCCTATAAAAGATTCTAATGTCGATGACGAATTTTTTATATTAGAGAAAAAGAAAGGAATCGATAAAATTTTAATTATAATTATCATAATTACGTATAAATCGATATCATCCTTTTTCTTCGATCTATTTCGTTAATTTCCAAGAACGGAATAAAGAGATAAAATAATTCGTTCGTTCGTTCGTTCGTTCGTTCGTTCGTTCGTTCTATACGTATATAAAAATGATGAATATTAAATAAAACTATACGTACATTTCTCTAGGAAGAATAATTTTCTTTAAAAAGTAGAACTACGTTATCGCTATAAGATGCAGAAACGATCGTAAGACAAGATATCGAGAAACGTTCAACGACGAGTAGCAAGCGCTTTCAGAGAATCTTCGTCACGCGATCGTTAAATCATGATCGAAGGTGGAACGCTCGAATAGCATCGTACAGACACATGGTATATATATATATATATATATATACATACATACATACATACATACATATAGCTATTGCATGGAAAAAAAAAGAAAAGAAAAGAAAAAAGGTGAAAGAACAAAAAAAAAAAAAAAGAAAAAAAGAAAAAGAAAGAAAGAAAAATAGAAAAAAAATACTTGAAGAAATCTCAGCAGCTCGTTGATATGAGGAATCCCAATGGAAAGAGGTGGATCGCGTGAGAATCCTTTCGTCTACCGAACCGTCTAGAAATTTTGATCTCCGGTATAGAATTCCGTCGGATGGTATGCGCGCGTGTAACGCTCGATTCGCACGAGTAGACGATCATGTATTAGTATATGTGTGTACGTATATAGATATATATATATATATATATATATATGCAGCAGCATACATATATGTAAGTAGGTAGATGTCCGTGTAAAAAAAAAAAAAGAAAACTCGACAGGATCGTCCGGCTCGTTTCTTTATGATCGTCGGAGAGAGCTTTCGGTCGCGAAGAGTGAGGACAGGCATTGTGAGAACTCTTTCAAAGGGAGAGGAGGTATTGTATAAAGGGGAAAAAAAAAAAAGAAAAAGAAAAAATAAAAGGAACAGCTAGCTAGTGTGTTAGTTTTAGTCATGGTACTCTTACTAGTGACTGTGATTGAACTTGTCGGACTCGTTACTACGATCAATAGAACCGGACGGATCGTTGCGTAGAATTTATGGCATATTTCGTCTAACGAAATGATGACACGTCGACCACCGGCCACGAGCAACGAACGAGACTTGTTGCTTTGTTGCTACCGAGTACGAGGCTCTTTCTCTCTCTCTCTCTCTCTCTCTCTCTCTCTTTCTCTTTCTCTTTCTATCTCTATGTATGTAGGTACGTACGTACGTACGTACGTAACGAAGCACGGAAGGAGCATGCTAAGTAACATATGCCAGGCTATAGTTCGAACTTACGATCTCTCCGTGTCTGTTTATCTCTCTAATAATAAGTGATGTGAGAAAATAACTAGGTCTTATGACGCCAACACTATCCTCGTGAGATGGATTCTTACGGACAAAACAAACGTGGCTAGCTGGTATCCGATACATCTCTATAAGTTTATTCAAGAATTTCCAGAAGCTCGAATACGAATTCTATGACTTTTCATCGAACAAAACGTGAACCATTGGTTGCTATCATCGTTGGTGTAAATAGGAAGTATCTAAAGGAATGAAAATTTCATTCTATATGTTAGAGGATTCTTCCTTTTTATCCTTGAGGCTACTACAGACGACAGTTCGGTATGGTTCGCGTAAACGAAATATTTTTACGCTCAGAGAAATGTTTGCCTGAAGGAATCGAGGGTTGCGAAACCTTCCTTATTCGTTCTCCTCCCATCCTCCTCCTCCTCCTCCTCCTCCTTCTTCTTCTCAACTTCCAAACCATCCACCCTCCTTCCTATTTCTTCTTCCTATACCGATTCCTCGCGAAAATACTTTAGGCACGAAGAGAAATGAAGAAAAGAAACGCGGCTGACCCTGGAAGTGCTGGCCGCGTATTGCCAAGGGACCAGAGGGAGAAAGAGGACCAAAGGACATCCGAACCAATAGAACGAGGGATGCTGGCCTCTCAGCACGCTTCTAGAATCACTAATGTCAGCAATATCCTGTACACGTCGGCAAACACATATACAAGAGAAATGGATGCGAAGTATTGCCATTGCCAGTCGAGAACTCGAACCCGTATAACACGTATACTGTATGTATACGTTTCTTTTTTATTTTTATTTTTCTTTTTTCTTTTCTCTTCTTTTTTCTATTTTCTTTTTTTTTTTTCTTTTTTTTTTATGTTTTTTTATCTTTCTTCCACCTTTCATTCTTACAGACTGAGAAAAAACGTATATGTATAGAAAGTGTGTTTCGAACCATTCACAATACTCCGTTTAGCTTTTGTAGCAAATATAACGATTTTAATCTGTACACTACAGAGTTCGTTGGAGATAGACGCTTTATTAAATATGTACGAGTCTACTCAGACATTTACGGACGGTACTGAAAATTAATCTGGACCATTTTGTCTCCTCTCTCTTTCTCTCCTTCTCTCCCTCTTGTTTTATTCGCGTAAAATTCGAACGATATAAACGGCTCTCCTTCGTATCTTCAACGATCGCATCACGATTCCTCATGATTTTCCTCGTATTTCGAAGATCGTTTTTATTTTGACATAATTTTTTTTCTTCGTCGATTAACTTGAGAATGGATTCCATGCCAAAAAAAAAAAAAAAGAAAAAAGAAAAAAGAAAAAGAAGGAACGTCTTGACTTATTTGGTTTCTATTATTTTACTTTTTCTCGAAAGAATAAAGCTTAAACGAGAAGTAACGCCTAAATTAATAATAAAATTGTTTACGTGTAATATAGATAAGTTCGTACATCGTCAAATAACAATAAGGAATAACCAAAGCAATTATTATTTCTATTGATAAAATTTTGTAAAGTAATAATAATTTAATAGATCGACTTAAATGCGACATATTTTTCTACAAGGAATTGCGTTGGAGATCAATGAGCTCGAAGCTGGATAACACCCATCGACCTTCCGTTTTCCTTGGTGATCGAGGGGAAAACTCAACAACCCGCATACAGCAATGAGGTGGTGCATCGAACGAAATTTCCGAGCGAACGAATTCGACGAAAACAATTCTCTTAACTGAGAGAAAGAGAAAGAGAGAGAGAGAGAGAGAGAGAGAGAAAAAGAGAGAGAGAGAGAGAAAGAGAGAGAGAGAGAGAGAGAGAGAGAGAGAAAAAGAGATAGATGAAAAGAAGTTCTGCAGAGCGCATGCTCGAGTGAAGCAACGTTCCGAAATTTATTGCCACCCACTCGAACCAATCAAACCGAGATTCTTGCACGGATAATCGAATCATGCCACGTATTTGCATACATTTCGTTTTGAAAATTTCTTTTCCTTTTGCATATGTACCACGCCCGAGAAATAGAGAAAGATAGTTATAGTCTGCGCGTGTATGTGTTACACAAAGATCAAGACTATATATATATATATATATATATATATATATATATATATATATATATATACACACACACACATACACACATACATACATACATACATACATACATACATACATAGGAACAGACTATTTTTCTATAGGGTGTCTTCGTTTCACATTTATCTACGTGTGTATGTATTATCGACGGCGATGTAGATTGTAGACAGAAGAAACGAAAGTGACTCACCGTTCGCGAGGGGTAGCTCGGCCAGTGGGAGTAGGAGTAGTACTAGCAACGACGAGGAGGACGATGACGGGGTGAATCTCCCTTTCCGACGCGGGAACGTCAGTCCCTGCATCCTGAAACAGGCAAACACACAAATCTATATACATATACATATATTACAGACATATCCATCGAAGTGGTCGTATATATTCGGATAGTGGGCGCGGTAGAAGGTCTCGACGTTCCTTTCAGCATGCTTTTGCCGCGAGCATGATCTATTATACATACATGTGTATATTTGTATATATATATATATATATATATATATATATATATATATATACATACACACAAACATAGATATTCGACTGCGAACGATGTCCGAGAGGGTATAACGAAGAATCGAAAATATTTCGGCGCACGTGTACGTTGCAAAAGAGAGAGAGAGAGCGAGAGAAAGAGGGTTTAGTGAAAGGGGATAAGGAGAGAAAAGGAGAGACAGACAGACAGAGAGAGAGAGAGAGAGAGAGAGAGAAAGAGAAAGAGAAAGAATAAGAGAGAAAATGTACAACCGGATCCATTGGCTGTAATGAAAAATCGCTCCCTTCTTGAGCCCCGCCAACGATTGACCGTGAATTAAGGCCTTTGTACTTTCGATTAGTAGCCCAGAAAGATCGTCGACCACGGTACATGCGATACGATCGTTTCGATGTCCGTGACAACAACAACAACGGCCACGATGAGACTATCTTCTATCTCTATCCCTCTCTCTCTCTCTCTCTCTTTCACCCCCTTTCGATGGGGCTAGAAAGGAAATCGTCTAGTTGCTATCACTAGAATTGTTTGGTCAGACTAGGAGAACATTCTCCGTCTTCCTGCTGTTCTTTCGAAAGCCACGTTATTACCAATAAAATGAGAATGACAGAATAGTGGGATGGGATTGGGCAAGGGGGAGGGGGCGAAGAAATAAAAAATGTCTCGACGTATAATACCCTCACAAACGAAAGGCAAATGGAAATCCAATATACGATTTCTTCTACGTCCGACAAAGGAAAATATTACATAGGGAAGACATTTTTATAAACTTTTTTTCAAAAAGTCGTACGCGTTATCGTGAACTATAGAAAGGAAGTAAAGTTTTCACTGTCCATATATTCTCTTTCTTTCTCTCTCTCTTTCTCTCTCTATCTCCGCCCTTCCGTTAAAGTAGTTTTATTTTCTTGAAATCTTAGCTTTCCGAGCATTAAGTGCTTTCGATTATCGAGATACACTATCGTGCTCTTTCATGCACATGCGAAAAGTCTCAGAAACGTTATCACGTTCGTATTAAATTATTTATAATAAACTAAATAAAATGAAAATTTTTCTTCTTTGCGACACTGAAATAATTCCAATACGATTTGCACGATCATATAGTTCTATATCTCAAATTTTATCAAAAGCAAGGATTGACATTGATACAAAAGTTGTTTACTGTAAAAATTCATAAAATTCATTGACATTTATATATATATATATATATATATATATATATATATATATATATATATGAGAAAATATCTCTGGCAATCGAAGGATCAAAATGTAAGTAGATTGATCTTTTTGCATCAATATTATTAATAGTATACATTCCTTCCAAGACAATATCATTGTTCCGTTCTGTCGTTCGTCTGTACTATCGTTAAATCTGCATTTTTAACAGATATTCCCTTCTTCTAATTATAAATATTTTATTTCGACGTGTTAGAAAATATTAAAAGGAAAGAAAAAAAAAAAAAAAAAAAAGAAAAGAAAAGGAAAGGAAAGAAAAAACAAAAACACGCGCAATCTTATACATAAACCCTTGAAACAAACTTATTCGGCTATTCGATAATTAATAATAAGAATAATTTTAATTTATAATGTATTAATAAATTATATACTTTGCATATTGTCTTCCCTTTAGATTTTTATTTATATCGTTAAATAGATTCTTTTTTTTTCTTTCATACTGTTCCCTTTTATACTTACACGGGGTTTGTCCTAGTACAATAAACGTTATTTTTCTCCATTCTCTCTCTCTCTCTCTCTCTCTCTCTCTCTCTCTCTCTCTCTCTCTCTCTCTCTCTCTCTCTCTTTCTCTCTGTCTCTTTCTCTGCGTGTAGTTTCAATATTTGTCGTACGTTGACCGCAAATTACCCGCCTTTCTATCCGCAGTAGCCCGAGTAAAAAGTTGTGTTACCCATTATGGATAATACGCATGGGGACAAATACGAGGCGAATACTCTTTTTTTTCCTCTGTCTCTCTTTCTCTCTCCCTCGTGCGCGCGCACATTTGTGTACATACATATTCATATATGTAGGATATTGAAGAATGCTATAATCGGTTATAACGATCATCTCGATCGTTTCGATTGATCAAATAGAAAAAAAAAGTAAACTCGAAATTTGACGTTTAAAAGTAAAAACAAAAAAAAAACAAAAAAAAAAAAAAAAAAAAAAAAAAAAAAAAAAAAAAAAAAGAAAAACAAAAAAAAAAAAAAAGAAAAATAAAACAAAGGTCAATGAAATTAGTGAGAATGAATAAAATCGTCAAGAGCAATTCTCCTTTTTTTTTTTTTTTTAGATTCATGGGAGGTCACCGAACATTAATTTTTTTTTTTTTTTTTTTTTTTTTTTTACTTTCAAGATCGTAAGTATTAATTAAAAATTCTGTGGTACATCTTTTATATTCAAGAAAAAAGGAATAAAAACCTGTCTTCTCGTACATTTACGTTTAATATTAATCAACTGCCATTAGACCATTTACTCGTCCACTGTTACAACCTTCTTTCACGCCTTTATATCCGTCTCGTTCTACATTCTTTTACATTATTTATTTATATTTTTTTTTTCTCCTTCAATTTTCACAACGTTTATCTATCGAAGTCATTAAAACGACAACGACTACGACGACAATATTGACGTGGCATTGTAGATATTAAAAATGTAAATTGACCCTTTCGACATGTTTAGAAACAAATAAGTGCGCCGACGACGATCGAGTAATTTCGTGTTCTTACAGAATTACAAACGGCGATCGTATCCGACGTCGATAGTCGTGAGTCACGCTACATTGCGATAAAAAGAGAGTTCAGTTCCATAAGTGGGACGGACCACGTATGCCCGGTAATACCTGAATGGCTAGTTCGCTGACATGCGACACGTTGCATACACGGATATATGTATTGTATAAGTATGTTAGTATGATGATGTACCTTTGTATAAGATCTATACGTTTCTAACATAGACAAATCTTGAATGGTAATAAAGAAAAAAAAAATATATATATATATATATATATATATATATATATATATATATATATGAGGCAAGGATATTCTTTCAGAAACGATTTCACGCTTGTTTCTAATTCTATGAACTTAACTATTGATAATATACACTTAACGCATATATATATATATGTTTTATGTAAAAGCAAAGTGCGAATAGTTACATTAAAAAAAAAAAAAAAAAAAAAAAAAAAAAAAAAAAAAAAATAAGTATGAAGTTAAAGAGAGAAAGTTAAACAAAAAAAAAAAAAAAAGGAAAAAAAAAGAATAAAAAAGGAAAAAAAAAGACGACCACACGAACGTGCATTCATTTGACAAGCAAAACGTAACCCAAGAGCCGATATATAAATTCGCGAAAAAATAAACGATGAAACGTCGGAGAGAACAAATATTTCCTATAACAGATGTATCCGATATTTTGTAGAGCATTTTGGCGAGCGATTCGAAAAGGGTCGAAACCCCGTACGCATTGGTTGCATCTACCATTTTATTTGTTTTCTCTCTCTCTCTCTCTCTCTCTCTCTCTCTCTCTCTTTCTCTCTCTTTCTATCGTTCGCTCCCTTTTTTGTCGTTAAAATTCATCGAAACCAAATAGAAACATAACGTATATGGCGATATAGGTATAGATATATGTGTACACTCGATGTATATACAAAGTCTTCCACTATAACTCTTCTACGGGAAAATCGAGATTCGTTAGTGGTATCGATATCTTTTGAGTGATATGTACTAGATAAAATAGTAGTAGTAACACTTAATTGACGTAAATTGAAAATAAAAAGAAAATAAAAAAAAAAAGCGGATAGGTACAACTAATAATTTTGTAACTCTATTTCAATAAGAGATATAACAAAAAGTTGTAATATTTCGCATGGAAAAAAGAAAAAAGAAAAGAAAAAAGAAAAGAAAAAAGAAGAAAAGGAAAGAAATATACATTTATTTATTAATCAATGATCGATTATTAAACGTAAATTCAAAGGAAAATATATTTATAAGAATATTGAAGAGATTCGATGTTTATTAGTCGCTCGTTAATTATATTTAATATGATCGTTAGATTATAATTATGATTAAAAGGATTAACTCGAAGTATGGGAAGCGTTTCGTTTATAAAAAGAGGCGTTGATTAGTACGCGTAAATAAATCGTGAAATTTCTAGTGTTTTCCGGACGAGTGTAGAATGAAAAAGAGATAGAGAGAATAGTATCTTTGTTGACGGCTTCTGTGTCGCGCGCATGAATCAATACCAATCTCTAACTTTCGCGGGGTGTAATACGGAGATGACCGTCAGCAAATTGCTGAGTTACCCGAATGAAATAATCTTTGACGTTTCCATTAGACTTATTGCCAAGAATTTAAACGGCCGATTTTATCTTCGTCGCCCGGTCAATAATGTTGATGTATCGTAATTATGTATACAACGCTTCTATACATACACGTTCAATCCCGTGACGACTTGTTTATTTTTGCTTTCATTTTCTTTTTTATTCCTTATCGCTCGATAAAAGTCCATGATAAAAATAAAAATGTCGTAGACGCAATCGAACTAAATCAATGACACCAGTCGTTCCTCCTCTTCCTCCTCCTTCTCCTCCTTCTCTTATTCCTACTCCTGTTCTTCTTCTTCTTCTTTTTCTTCTTCGATTAGCAAAATCAATCTAGCGTCAGAGGGAGAAATTTTTTGACACTGTAGAAAAAAAAAAAAAAGAAAAAAAAAGGAAAAAAAAAAACGATTGACAAAGGATATTAAATAGAAGATAAAGGAAAAGTCCTTTCTTTTTTTCTCGTCAACGTCGAAGATCCGACGAATAAAACGCGAAACG